CTCCATCAGTCTGGCTTTGGACCAAAGTGGCCCCTTAGCAGATCCCAGAGTCCCTTCCTTGCAGCTTTCCCACTGGCCGCCTTCAACGAGACCCTCTCCTCCTCTCCTGTATGACACTGAGAGACACAAAAAGTAGTCCACTAAGCCTGGTATTCTGTTTTCCTACCATGTTCCCAACCTTCTGAGTTGTGGTCTGGGACCCCGGGCCTCTTGGGGTCAGCTGGGTCTCCTTTGATATGGGTGCCCCCCCAATGATCTGCTTCCCAGCCCGAAGGGCAGGGTCCCACTGCCCGGTGCCCGGCCATGTTTCCATAACTTACCACACCCCCAGTCCTGGAACCAAATTCCATAACAGCTAGGACCCTTTCATCCACACATACCAGAAAACCTGAGAAAAACTTTAAGCACAAAAGAGAGTTACCCCTATGTAGTGGATTGAATGCTGCCCCCCAAAACATCGAGTCCACTCAGAACCTCAGAGCACCCAGAACCCTGTATTTGGAAATAGGGTCTTTGCAGATGATCAAGTTGAGATAAGGTCATTAGGGGGGGTCCTAACCCAGTGTGCCTGGTGTCCTTCTGAAAAGGGGTCATTTGGACACAGACATGCATGCAGGGGGAAGGCTACATGCCCACCGGGGCAGAGAGGGGAGTGATGTGGCCACAAGCCCAGTATCACCCAAGATGGCCAGTGGCCACCAGAAGCCGGGAGAGAGGCTGAAACACTTGTCCTCACAGCCTCAGAAGCAACCAGGCTTGATGACACCTTGATTTCAGACTTCTAGCCTCTGGAACTGTGAGCAAATAAGTTTCTGTTATGTTGAGCCACTAAGTTTGTGGTACTTTGTTATGACAACCCTAGGAGACTCATATGCCTTAAGACAAGAAATCCAGAGATAAGGAGGTTTTAGGACTGGCTAATTCAGTGAGTCACTCACTGATGTCATCAAAGACCCAGGTGTCTTCATGTTTCTGTCCTGCCATCTTCAGCATGTCAGCCATATTCCCCCTCATGGTCACAAAGTGGCTGCTGCAGCACCATGCATCCCAGGCAGGCAGGATGGTCAGCAAAGAAGAGCGTATGCCTCCCTGGTGCCTCCTATATTAGGGATGTGGATGGCCATGATTGGCTTGTACTAAGGATGATTCATTCTCTGGGCTCAGGGAGGGGGGCACGTCTGAACAAAATAGGGAAAAGCAGCAGTGTCTGTGGGGATGCACGCCCAGGGCCCTGTGAGTAAGTGAGTGGCAGATGGGATTGCAACAAGAGGAGGCAGAAGGGAATGTGGTGGGGGGCGGGAGTGGGGCATGGGGTAGAAACAGGTCTGTGGGGTGGCCAGGCCGCTGATCCTCAGCCCTGCATGCTTCAGGTCCGGCCGCCCTCGCCACGGGACAGCCCGGCTACTGGGCTCCCAGCAGCACCACCCACAGCTGCCCCGCATCACAAGGTTGTATCTTCAACTCACCCCTCCAGGGCTCAGCCCAGGTGGGCCCCACACCTGACAGAGTGGGCATTTGGCCTCGGCAAGTGTGCTGATTATGCCGTCCATTATGGGGTGCACTGTGCCCCCCAAAGTTGCCTCTGATTCCTAGCCCTGGTCCCCGTGAACGTGAGCTTACTCGGAAGCAGGGACTCTGCAGGTGTGATGGTTAAGGGGAGGTCACCCTGGAGCGGGGTGGTGTTCTCACAGAAGGGGGAGCGTGGACATGCACGCAGGGAGGAGGGCATGCGGCCACGGAGGCAGAAGTTGGGGTGACGCAGTCACCAGCCCAGCATCACCACCAGGAGCTGGACGAGGCAGGAGGGACCTTCCCCTGGAGCCCTCAGAGGGAGCGCGGCCCTGACCCCTGAGCTCATGCTTCTGGCCCCGGGACGAGGAGATGATCAAGTGTGCTTGTTTGAAACCCCCGGCCTTGCGCTCTGTTCCGGCCACCCCAGGACACTGGGAACCCCCAAACCCACTCTCCCTGCCTCTTGGACACAGACGCCAGGGCCGGCCCCCAGCGCCTGACGCCTCTATCCACAGATGCAATCACCCCTTCCAGAAAGTTCTCCCTCATAAATAAATGAGGTTAGAAATGGCCCATATGGAAATATAATGTTGTTAAAACCACTGATTAAGTTTTACACAACTGTGTGAAAGCAAACGAAAAGGTTTTAGCTTTTTAATTTAAGAAAAGAGGAATATGATATAATTTCAATTTGTGATAAGATAAGATGTTCTCGATATTGCGGCTTCAATTGGATTACATCCTAATGTACTTTGTAAAGTGTCAGGCTGACTGCAGATTAAGGTGTGTGTGTGATATTCTTTATTAACAATGTAATGGGCCACGTTTGCTCTATCCGTCTTCATCAGCATTTCCGGCCCACCTGGGAGACCTCGTTAATGCGGACTCCAAACCCCCAGGCCCAGTGGGGGAGGCTGGGAGGAGACCCCCAGGTGGACCAGCGCGCAGGCAGGGGTCCCGGGAGGCAGGGGAGGGAGGTCCCAGCCTGCACGAGGCAGCATGCAGGGGGCAAGGTCTGTGGCACAGTTGGGAGGAGGAGGAGCCGAGACCCCTGTCCTCTGGCCACAGCCCTGCTGGTGGGTTAGGAGCCTACTGGGTCCCGGGGACATGACCTGAACTTGCGTCCACGGCCCAGAGTGTTCTGGGTACCTGGAGCTCCAGGACGCCCTGAAACCCCCTTTGGGGTCTTGATGAGCCCCCGACCCAGCGGCGTGCATAGTCCTAGGCAGGAAGCAAGGCACCTGCCAGAGGAAGGGAGGCACCAGCTCCGGCAAGGCAGGCTGCTGGGTGAGCAGACCCGGCCCCCGGCCCCAGGACCTTGTCTGTGGCCACGATGAAGGGGCAGCTGGCTCTGGGGTTGGGGGGCCCAGGAGGGACACGCGTGGGTGGGAAGAACCCAGCTCAGACCCAGGACACCGCCCTTTCTTCCCAGGACCCCCAGAAACACGGGTGTGGAGACAAGTCCACACAGAGATTTCATTTGCGGGGTGACCGTGGCTCCCGCCTGGGCCCAGCCACACAGGGTCCCTGCGCCGCTGGGGAGTCTGATCTGCTGCCTGCATCCTCCCAGGTCAAGGCCAAGGGCAGCCAAACTCAGGCCCCGCCACTCCTGAGATATGACCCTGGGCGCTCCTCTGTGACTCGGTTTCCCCTCTTGTCAAAGGGACAGAGTGACGCCTAACACTCCCATTTCTGTGGAGAAACTAGGTGCCCCCCCATGGCCCCCTCTGCTAGCTCTGCCCAGGCCTGCCCCCTCTTCCTCCTGCCTCTGTCCCTGCTGTGTGACCCTGGGGAAGACCCTTCCCCTCTCTGGGCCTTGAACCCCTTCTCTAGAATGGGAGGGGGTCGCAGGAGCTGAGGTGCCGTCCGTCCATGGGAAGAGCCAAGCCAGCCTCACCTGTCACAGCCTGACACCCCGCATCTGGGGGGGTCCAGCCAGGGCAGGGCCTGAGGGAAGGGGGTTGGGCCGCATCAGTGGAGGTTGCAGGGGTGAGCTGTGGCGGGGGCTGTGGGGGACGGGGTGCCCAGAGTGACCCGCTCTCCAGGACGTCCTGAGCCCCCAGAGCATGGTGCAGACCCTCACGTGGGCAGGGGGCTGAGACACCCCAGAGACCTTGAACCCCTGCCTGCGTCCCTCCGTGTCCCAGGGGCCAGGTCCAGGCCCCACCTAACTTGCTGTGTAGCTTCAGGGGGTCCCGCGGCCCCTCTGAACCTGTTTCCTTGTCTGAGAACCGCAGCTTCTCGGGGTCTCCGGCGCCCCATCCCTGTTGGGTGGCCCTCTGCCTCCCCCTGGTGGTGAAGAGCCTACGCGGCTGCAGGCCTGCGGCCATGCCTGGGCGGACCTCGCGGGGCGCCCAGGTCTCCGCTGGACGGTGGGGCAGACCCGTCCAGGCCGCCCTCCACCACACAGGTCTCACTCTGGGGCCTCTGCTGAGAAGCGCCCATGGCGCCCAGTGCCCAGGAACGACGCCAAGCCTGCGTGGCCCACTGTCCACTGACCGCTCCGGCGGCCGACCCCTCCACCACGGGGCCCTCCCGCCTCTCCAGTGGGGGGTCCTGCCGCGATGGGCGGGCCAGCAGGAGGCCTCGAGTTCCTTGCCCCCCCGCCACTGCCGCTGGTCCAGACACACTCCCATGACCACACGCAGCCCCTCTGTCCGTCACCAGAGGTTCAGAGAGGGCGGGGCCTGAGCCGGGCAGCAGACGGGGGGGACTGCAAACCCATCTCTGCACCAGGCAGCCGCCCTCCCTGTCCCACATCACACCCTGACCCCGAGCCCCGAGTCCCCGGCTGAGACCCCCCAGCACCCCGTAAACGCAGCAGGAGCTCTGTGGGGACCTCAACATACTCAGCCAGGGACCCCACCTGCCACCAGGCTGGGGGCGTTGGTGATGTGCCGGGGGGAGGGTCCACCAGGACCGCCACAATGGGCCCCCACAGTGGCTGGAAACAGCACAGAGACAAATGGGGGCACTGAAGCCCACAGGAGAAGCTCCTCTCCCGGGGCACCCGAGCAAGGGCAGTGCGGGGCAGTGACTCGGGGTGAGCTGCGGCGAGGCTGCTCCCCTTTGGCCTTGGCTGCCCCCACTGTGCCCTCTCTCCACCAGACGTGGGGAAGGGCGGCGAGCCCCACGCCCTGCTGGCACCAGGCCCGGGACTTGGAGTCCTTCTCCGTCCCAGGGCACAGCTCACCTCCGCCCCAAGGCCAAGGTCACAGATCTCAAGTTTGGAGATCCCCACTTGGGGCCAGCTCCTGAGGGCAGTTGGCACAGACCCGCTCTGTCCCCGGCTCCCGGTGTGCAGCCAGGCCAGGAAGCAGCTCCAATGCCCACCTCAGAGGGTCCGGGCCAGTCCAGAGAGGGTCAGCGCCTGCTCAAGGCCATGGGCACGTCTACACCGGTGCATAACTGGAAGCTGGCCAGGACCTCCAGGCCAGGCGCCAGGCCGCCTGGGAGCGCGTGGTGAACAGGAGAGGGAGCCCAGGCCATCACGTGGTCACTTTCTTTATTGTGGTGGCTCAGACCCCATGGGGAGGGGTGCAGGTCCCCACCCCCATGTTCCCACTCCCACGGTGCCCACCCTGCCCGAGCCAAGGGCACAGGTCCTGCAGCCAGCCAGACGGCTCACTCGGGGGTCCTGCTTTTGCTCCTCAGGGACCAGACCCTGGACAAGCTGAACTTGGACTTCTTCTTCTGGTCCCCGCTGCTTTTCTGGAGGTCTGGGTGGGGGGTGGACACTGAGGACACTCGCCACCTCTCGGCCATTGTCCCTGCCACATATATCCCTCCCGCCCTCCCGTCGAAGCCCTCCCTGGGCCCCAGAGCCTGGAGGAAGCCGGGTCCCGACAGCAGCCCTGACCCTCTGCCCTCCCTCGTGGGAACCGCCTCGGTGCCTGCCGTTAGGGCACCCGCCGGCCCAGGGACCCCCTCACCCTGACTACACGGTCAGGGGCCGCCTCTCGGCCCCACCGAATGAGTGAGCCTTCCTGTCCTCGGGCCGCATCTGCCCTAGAGCCCCCGCGCCTCCCACCTCTGCCCCGGCCCCCCCATTACCCAGACTCTGGATCATGTTCTGTAGCATCTCGTCCTCCTCTTGCTCTCTGAAACAGGAGCCGGGCGGCAGTGAGCGGCCTGCCCGCGGGGACTCACAGCCGCGCCCCCAGCCCATCTGACACCGAGGCGGTGCCTGCCCTCTGTGGGCCCGGACCCTTGTCGGTGGCACGGGGACACGAGGGCCCTGGGAGGACCTGGACCAGGGCTCTCTCAGCTCACTTAACCCGTTCAACAGACTTGGCCACAAACCCTGTGGCCTTGACGGGTCCCTCATTTACACACGGGACAGGGACGCCGGGGACGGTCACAAAGCCGGCGGCCCAGTGCAGCTCCAGGAGACACAGGTGGCTGGGGGTATTTAAGGAAAATAAAATCTGAAGTTCCGTTCCCCTGTTGCACGGGTCACAGTGAGCCACCTGCATGACGGAATGTTCTAGCAGCAGGTGCTGACCCCTGGCGGGCCAGGGACACGGGGCTCGAGGGCTCTGTCCGGGACGACCTCTAAGGCAGGCTGCCTGGCTGGGTCTGCCCTTGGCCTCAGGGCCCCTGCAGAATGCGCACGGGGGCGGGGCTTCTCACTCCTCTGTGCTGACGGCGGGGACGGGCTCTGCGCACGAGGTGACCAGCCAAGGCCCGGCCTGGGGAGCCGGGGTTCTGGCACGCCCTCACCTGAGGCGGTCCTCCTCCAGGAAGTCCACGATGTGGCTCCGGTCCTCCACCGTACTGATGTACCGCTGCAGCAGATCCTCCTCGCGCTGCTGGTCCTTGAGGGACTTCAGACCCTCTGCAGGGACAGCCCGCCTCAGCGGCAGCCCTGCCGCCCCACCCTGCTCAGGGACAGTGTCCCCGGAGGTGGGGAAGGGTCTCGGGGGCAGTGGGGGGCAGTGGGCACAGGGTCTGCCCATCTGCCAACGCTGGATGGATGGACGGACGGGTGGATGGGTGGGTGAATGAACGAACGAATGAGTGGCTGAGTGGAAGAACGGCCAGCTCGGACCCTGAGCGCCACTGGCCCCGTCGCACAGCAGGAAGGCAGAGGCGGGACTGCCAGGCCCTCAGCCCCACCACCCACAACACCCACAGGCCGTGCTGGTCAGGCCCCACTGCCTGCAGTCCCCGCTCTGCAAGCACAGAGAGGCTGAGTGCCCCGGCCGAGGACACACAGGCTGGAGGGGAGACGTGAGACTTGACCCTGGGCAAGCGTCAGCCTCTCCCAAGGGTGGCCGCCCAGGCGGCCGGCGGGAGGAGAGCCCGCACCCACGCCACCCCAGGGGCTGAGCGCCCCCCTCCCCCAGCCACGGTTCCCCCGGGGTGGGCGGGACGCACTGGGCTTGGCCATCAGCTGACGCAGCTCCCCCTCCAGGTCCAACTGCTGCTCCACCAGGCGCTGGTCCCTGGCCCTGCCGAGGTGACGCAGGCGTGAGGCCCGGCCCGCCTGGCTGGCCTCCCCCATGCCCGAGCCCGGCGGGCGCCGAGAGGAGGCGGCCGTCCAGGAGAGGGCCCTCCGGGCAGAGGTGGAGCAGCTGGACCCCTCACTTGTGCATCAGCTCCGACTCCTGCCGCAGCAGTAGCTGCTTCTCGTGGATGAGCTGGAACCACTCCACCATGAGGGTGTCCTCGGAGGCATCTGCGGAGAGGGGGCGCCAGGACGGGTCAGGCCAGGGTGGCCCCAGGGGGAAGCTGGCTGAGGCCGGGCCGGGGCACTGGGCAGGGCGTCGGCTCACCCCCCTCAGCGGCGCGAAGACGCTTCTCCAGCTCCACGCCCCTGAGCTCCAGGGCGTCCAGCTGGCTCTCGATGTTCTGCATGTGCCTCTGGATCTCTTCCGGGGGCATGTAGTCAGGGTGCAGCTGGGGACAAAGGGCCGGTGAGGGGCCATGGGAGATGCCGGGCCATGCCCCAGAGGGCTGCGCTCCCGGCACACCTGCACCCTGGCCTACTCACCCTGGCACGGTTGGTCACTGCCTTGCCGGGTGGAGCGGGGACACCAGTCGAGCCCAAGGGCCTCCCTGCTAAAGGCGAGACGAGTCTCCTGGGCCTGGGGGCATCAGGCCCAAAGCTGCGCCGATCCCACCCCACCTGCCCGGCAGCCCTGCCCCACCCCCCCCAGCAGTGCCCCGCTGGTGCCCAAAGCCAAAGCTCACAGACAGATCCAGGCACCATTCCCACCGGCCTCCATGCCCCCCGTCAGCAGCCCGGGCACCCCAAGAGCAAACACTCCACCATCACCAGGTAGATAGGAGCAGGGAACCCTGTCCGGTCCTCCCTTCCCTACTGGTGAGCAAGGGTTCAGGGATGGGGTCCTCCAGGTCCCCCGCCCCAGCCCAAGCCAAGCCTGGCCACCCGCGGGTGCTCCCCTGCGTGCCTTCCCTCCGCTCTGAGCCCCATAAGCTCCTCATCCTCCTGCAAACCCCACCAGACGCCCCCTCCTCAGATGAGCCCCTTTGTCTCCAGCCCAGCTAGAAATGGGGGCTGGGGTCTCGGGGCTGACCTGGTTTGCCCTGAGCAGAGAGCTTCCCTTTCTCCTCTTCCTTCCAGCTCTGGGCTGGGACTTCCTGCCCCGAGGGCTCAGAACGAAGCCAGTTGGCAGAAACGTCCAGGCTGGCAGAGACGGCCAGCTTCCTGCGGCGGGATGGGGACGGGGACGGGGAGGCGGCTGCCCAGGGGCAGGGGACAGGGCCACATGTCAAGCTGGCAGATCTGGTGTCCTCCCCCCAACTGCTTCCCTGAGTGGGGGCCACCGGCCAGCACAGGGTCAGTCCTCACAGCCCCGTGCCCACGTCCGCCCAGGGAAGGCCAGCGTCTGCATCCTCGACAACACAGGGGCAAACGAGTCCAGTGGGCCGGAGACCGGCTCAAGGCCACGCAGGAAGTGACGTGAGGGCTGGACATGGGTCCGGGGGTGGCACTCACATGCACATGCAAGCACACTCATGCACACACACTCACGCCCAGGCTGCCACCCCGGACACCAGCCTCTCCAGCACCACGGGGTCGCGTTCCCGGGCTGGGCATCTGGAGCCCCCGGGTTCCCACCCAGCATTACCTGAGGGGCTGGGCCCGGGGCTAGCCGCGCCCGCTGTCCTGTCAGACCGAAGAGGGGTCGGGGGGACGTGGACGGGCCCCTCGGAGCTCCCACGGACCTTCCCAGGTGCCTCACCCACCCGAGGCTCTGCCAGGACCCTAGACAGAGGGCAGGAGGTCAGCCGAGGGAAGGACGGGCTGCCCCCACACCCAGGTGCAGACAACCTGAGGCAGGGAAGGAGCTCATGGTGCCTGACCGGCCTGACCGGCGGTGTTCCCGCGAGTGCTCACCTCTGTGGGTGTGAGCACCAGCTCAAGTCCTCACAGCTGGTGCAGGACCACGTCCGCTGCCCGCCCCCGGCCACACACTGCTACAGTGCACACAGGGCGGCCGGTGTGATCGCCCCCCTGTCACTCAGGCGGTGCAACTGGACCCCCCATCACTCACTCAGGCGGTGCAACTGACCCCCGTCACTCACTCAGGCGGTGTGACTGCCCCCATCACTCACTCAGGCGGTGTGACTGCCCCCCCGTCACTCACTCAGGCGGTGTGACTGCCCCCCGTCACTCGCTCAGGTGGTGTGACTGCCCCCCGTCACTCAGGCGGTGTGACTGGCCCCCGTCATGCACTCAGGCGGTGTGACTGCTCCCCGTCGCTCAGGCGGTGTGACTGCCCCCCCGTCACTCACTCAGGCGGTGTGACTGCCCCCCGTCACTCACTCAGGTGGTGTGACTGCCCCCTATCACTCAGGCGGTGTGACTGGTCCCCGTCACTCACTCAGGCGGTGTGACTGCCCCCTGTCACGCACTCAGGCGGTGTGACTGCCCCCCGTCGCTCAGGCGGTGTGACTGCCCCCCCGTCACTCGCTCAGGTGGTGTGACTGCCCCCCG